GGAGCCAGACCATTGGGCTGGTGAGAAAACATCGGTGCCTGTTCATGTGATGAAGTAAAATAAAATACTACCACTAGTACTACATATTTCATGTACCCTTGGTAATAGTGCCAAATGTACAATGTATGATTTGTTGGTGCACACAGAGAGAGAGGAAAAATTCAGGCTCTCCAATAGCAACACTTTGAACGTTTTCCAGCAGCATACTGATACTTCCAATTTTCAAGCGATGACAGTTGATGGGAAACGCTAAAGTAATGCTGTGTTTCAGTTTGTTGTTAATGTTATGTGCGGTTGTCGTCATTTGAGCAACAAACACGCTGTAAGTATGATAAAGTGTTGGTCATACCATGAGAGACCACTTTCCTTTCAGTCATAACACAACGTAGCAAACTAGGGACCGGCGAATTCTGCTCGAAAACGCGGCAGATTCTGCTCGAAAAGCAGTAAAATTGCCAGAACCATACAAACCTTATGGGGGGCAATTCCTCGAATTATGCTCCATTTCTTTATCCACATACCAAATATGCATGAAACTTACCAGAAAAAGTACCGAATTCTGCCAGTTTTTCTGCCGGCAGAATCCGCTGGACCCTATAGCAAACCCATCGACTGACAGAACGGTCAATTCAACTAGAGTATTCGTGCTACATGTACAGTGGAGATTGTATAAATATTATAACCATGATAACAACACTCCTACGGGAGAGAACAAAATGTCACCATTTTCGATATTTCCCTAAACCCGATCTGCACAAAGAACTTAGTAAACGACTTGGGCAACAGAATTGTGTAGCTAAACTCAATCTGTCGTTATACCAGTATGCAAGGTCGTTATATCCGATCTTCAATATACAATCAGTCATGCACAACACGTTGTTGGTTTGACAGCATGAAACCAGGTTTATCTATTGCCATGTACAACATGTGCAGTACATGGCGAGCGTTTCATGCACCCTCGGATTGCTGTGCTAGCCCAGCTGGCCAGTCGAACAGTCGAAGGCTGTGGAGTGTGGAGGGATAATAATGACTGCTACAAATGTACTACTGCTTCTATTGTCAATCTACAGAGCTGCACAGGGCTCACCCCTAAAAATCAGCCGCTTAATTAACAGCAAGACCAGTGTGGCCAGGAGCTGATCCTCACTGTATTATTGTTAGTGTAAAACCTGCATCTGTATCTAAAAGTACAATGACCCCAGAATGCACCATTGATTGTGGGACGCCAGTGAGTACGACTCACGAGTGTCATGTCTTGATGTGATGTGTACGCACTTCACTCGGTGAATTGATCGATGGAAAAGCAAAAGTAGACCGGGTACGAAGAGTGCTGCTCTTCAACGCTTCATCACTTGAACGACATCCTTAGCGGAGCTAGCTGCAAAGCCACAATCCAGGTGTACTGAACCTGCGAGATGCTTCTATTTTCAGGCTCAGATACGAGCGCATTGAACAGATACATTCGGCAGATAACAGGCGACGAGGCAAGAACAATCATCCTTTGCCAACAGCCAATTGCACTTCATCATTTACTCGCGCCATTGTTCGCCATAGACCAGGTTGAACGACCAAGTGTAGTGGGCAGACCATTTTGGAGTTGATCGGCAAATTCGTGGCTCCACTCGGGTACAATAGTGACGCGGCAGCAAGATGTTATGACATATGTGCCTTGGTGCGTTTCAGGCTTTCAGCTACAGTGTAGGTCGTAGACCGACTCTGGTGGACTGTAACCAGGGGATATTTTTGAAAAAAACAGTTCGATGAGGAGAAGCCCTCGAGACATGCCGAGTAGAGATCAGCACTGCAGTGATCCTGTGCCGGTTGTGTTGTGCTTCACCTTATGAACTATTCACTGCATAAGACAGTATTCATATTCACACGTAGAGCTGCGTTTAATTAAGAGAGGTGAAATGGAAATGTCCAAATGTTGGAAGAAAAATTTGAATGCCATCGCCACTCCAGGGACCCTCGCTTGTGGTAATCGATACTCATGGCATAGTTGTCATGCCAGCAGCGACAAATTAAGCAAGATCCATCAATATGGCACTCCCATGGTGATGTTACTGTTAGCTACAGTGAAACCTGTCTAAGACGACCGTTCAAAGGACCTTCAAAATGTGGTCTCTGTTACCAGGTGGTCTCCTTATCCAGGGTCGTTTGACTGCACATAGCATCCCTTGATCCTGGTAGCAGTGGTCTTCTACGACAGGTGGTCGCCTTGACAGGTTTTCCTGTACATGTACATGTAGATGGTATTACGTCTCCTACACTTGAGAATATTGTTTGCGTCAGCAGCCCATCGACTACACAAGCCTGTTATTGTCGCCATGTGCAATGAAAGACGAATGTTTTTCCGATTCACTGTTTTGGGATCATCTAGTGCGTGAAGCTTGGAGTAGCAACACATCTTCCATCCTCTTCTTCTTGATTATGCAATGAAAGAGTCTATTACGAACAAACGTCCAGAAATAATCAATGGAAAACCAATCCGAGTACGTGTCCTATGATATCAACGTTTGTCAAGGATAAGCCTCTCATTCGGCAACGAACATGAATGAGGATTGCGGATCATACTTCTAGTCTATCGCATGGTCCACTGTGATACAAAGTACAGTGTACTAACGAAGCATATCTGAATGTGACAATACAAGTAAATCATTTCCTGCGAGTATTGTAGTCTCCATATTCCACAGTTGATCTCACTTCTACTTGAAATGTAGAAAGGAAAGGGACGTCACTCCATTATTCACCCCAGTGTCTGGAGATAATTATAATAATGGATTTTGTAGGGAGAAGAAACCTCCGAGTATTTAGGCAGCTAGCAAAAACTAGTGTAAAACAACCAGAGGAATAAAACATACTGAAAACTCCTTGGCGAAGGCCCCAAGGAAAAAAAACTGTTCGCGTGCAGAGCTCGAATATTCCTGCAGGTTCTGTCTCATTTCTGAATGCCAACGCTACAATGCATGACATAATAATCTTACACGCGCATGTACATGCATATCTGGGTAGCATCATCATGATCATGGACCATACGTGCAGGTACACAATTATATAGCCGGTAGCAAGTTCCTGAGATGCCGCCCAGGAGAAATTCCGGATATTTTACATGCAGTCATGCAGGACGATAAGACCCCCACGGACATCTTTACAATACACGTACACACGTCCATGGACATGACATTGTACATTATTCCATGCACACTGGGCATTGTACTTGTCGATTCTAGACTTCACCTTCATTCAGCTGTCAGGCGCACTCCTATTGACATTTTGACAGGTCAAAGTTACATAATTGCTTGCCGCTGCAATACTACAGTCCTGCGGAAGCAATAATACTGATAAATAGAAGGTGCAATGACCGAATTTGGGGATGTTTGGTGGACGGTAGGCTTCGACGATCTGTTCTTTTCATCTTTCAATCTGACTCACCGCGTTCGCGTGACAGATATCGCCGTCCTCCACCTGTCGATGTTAACACCCCATGCCGAATTCATGTTCCAGGCGAACCAGCACTCAAACAAATATCCGGAGAAGTACTCCCATGGGATACTAAAAGTGTTTCTAGTGAAACCCATGGAGGATCGTAGTGGATGTGAAGTTTCTCAACAATCCAAGGCAGGTTAGTCATGACTGAAATGAGTCAAACGTCCTCTCCCAGGTTCTATACACAAAGTCACAGACCCAACATACAATGTTCTTCCCAGCATGCTTTTGGAGGAGGCATTCTGGGATCTCCAATGCTTTACAAAGATCCGCAATTACTTGACAGTGAAATCCGTTTGTCCTTGTGCTGGAGTGATGGTGTAAATGTATATCATGATGTATAGCTCATAATGTCATATGCCATGGTGTCCTGAACTTCTTGGCGTACATACAGAAGTACGTTCCCTTTCACTGTTTCAGTAAAGCTGGAAACCGCATCCATCCAAGGTCTATTTATAGCACATATTCGTATTATTGCATTTGCCGGTTTGGTGTTGGTCTCTTGAGAGCTGGAAACCACAGACACAGTGCCATTCGATGGAGATGAGCGGGTTGACGTTAGCAAGACTTAGTAATGACCCTATCCAAACCATGCAACCCCAATGAACTCGTCGGAGAGATCCCCAGTTCGCTCCTGCCTTGCTTGCATGCTATCTCGTCAAATCGTCCATGTGTAGTCAACACACTCTTTCTATCAGCTAGTACTTTTTTTGAGAACCCCACGCCATTATTAGAGCCAATTACAATATTGAACAGGGTGCGAGTGGTTGGGGCAGAAATTCGCCACCGTGCGCTATCTCCGCAAGTGCCTTCAGTTGTCGTCTTTCAACTATCAGCTCTTTTGTGTCAAAATACACACTTTAGATGTATGTTCACATGGTTCAAGACTTAGCCAAATTGGAAAATTGGCCAATCGCCTGCAACGACGCAAAGTGGGCCTCCGCTGCGCTCGTGACATTGTGCACGATCGTAAGATAATCAACATGTCCTTGATTGCTCGCAGGCGATGCATTCATGGTCCCTGGCCGGCGTTCGGGAGAGATCTCTGAATGTCACTCAACGGTGGCAGTGAAGCCACCCGCATACCACATACAGTCAGTGAGTCAGTGCGCGAATGAGATTGTGCACTCTTTTGATGGGTTCGACAGACACAGGGCCAGGACGCGTTGACAGCTGTTGGGGTCTGTAGATCTAGGATCAATGCAGATCCTACACCTACGAAATCCACGCGACTGGCTTTGTCAGTAGAACTACAGGATTCCTAAATGAAGTGACCTTCATCTGGCGTGATGCTGCTGACCGGCCGCTCCGTTTTTTGGGGGACCGAGACGAGAGCTGTCACTCGCACTCGCTATCCGAAGCCTACACGCGAATTTCATACAAAGGGATCTTTGAACTCCGCACGAAATCATCAACCACGAACCACGCACAGTGCTATGTGGAGGCCACAGGCGGTTGCGAATTCTTCACCCTGTCGACTCGCTGGTCTTTATAAAAGCCGGTGATGTGACAGTTCTTTCGCCATCAGCCAGTTTCTCTACATCGGTTGACACTAGAAATTTCCCTTCTGACTTGTTTACTCCAACCTTCACTTCAGTCGAGTTGAGGGACGGAGCCTTTTTGAACCGAAGTTGAATTCGAGGGTTCTGGCAAGCATTTTCATTCCCAACGAAAACCATTTTTGTTGTGTATTCCGCCGTCATGGCGAGGTTAGTTGGCGTCGGAGCGCTGTTAGCGATAGCCATGTGCTCTTGGTCTGTGATGGGTCAAACGGCGGACGATATCCCTGAAGCAAATATGGATGTATGGTAAGCAAGTCATTAGAAGTTGTTCCAAAAGTTAGGATTTTGTCGGCCGCTTGTACAGTTTCATGATTGACTTGACTCTTCATTTTGCATTCGAGTGAACGTCTTATCTGTGCTTATGCGTGATGTGTATTTACTCATTCTACAAACTGCTTGTGTTCCAAACCCCACAAATTGTTGAAAGTTACCCTTTCCTCACGTGCTAGAGACACGGGTAAAGGCTAACGAACCATGCGGGAGCTCGCACGCGAGCATACAACTCGACGATGAAGTGTTCTTTCGGCGTTTTGAAGTGTCTACTCGAGGTGGTGATTGCTCGCGTGCAGCATATTCTCTCCATGCTCCACTAGTCGTTGTGCCAACAGGATGCCGCTGATGAGCCCAGCGGTTTTTTTCCAAAGGTTACCCTCGCGTTAGTCCTTTGAATCCGTGTTATGGTGGACGATTCTTGGCGCTAACAAGCTGTACCAGAAATGAATCAACAAACAAGCTTCTTCGCAATTTTTCGTATTTGCTGACTGGTGGCGATGGTCAGCAGAAAGGTGCCCACAGGTCGGCTACCAGCACATTTCGCTCGTGAGCTGGTATTTGCCCATGGACACCCTGTCATGCAGGATGAGAAGTGTACTTTGTCGCTCGCAGTTTCGAAAATCCGCTTGGTCATTCATTGCACTTGTGCAAGACGAACAGATGACTGCGCCATTCATCGGCGTTTCTCGACGGCGACAAGGTGTCGACAGAAATGACGGTGCGTAGGAGGAGCACGCCGGAACCATGTCGATCAGCTGACCAAGTAATTACTAATTATCACTGGCATCGGTGTTCTATGATAATGATTGTACGTAACTCATTTTCGGTTGAGAGCATGTTTATATAATACGAGGCGGAGGACCACCGTGTTGGGAAACAGTGCCCCTTGTATCCTTACACGTTTTAGTGACATGTCCAGTTGGTGTGTGCGTTCAAGTCCTGTACAGTTGGCTGGTCGGCCAAGTCGGGGTGCCAGCACTTTTGGTTCTATTCTGGCCCAGTTGTTGAAGTCCTCACTTGAGAAGGGCTCCCACGAAAAACAGGCGTGAATCTACAGGTCTGAAGCCACACGACTCGTATCTTGGTGACTTGTTGCACCAAATCCCTGCCTGAGATTCTTTCAATGAACACCTCTATCAGCCTTTCCGAAACTAAATGCCGTAGTGGTGCCACGATTCATTTTTTGTTTTTTTATCTGGAATGAATTAATTGAATTGGTAGCAAAACCCAGAACACGCATCATCTTCAGTGTCATGCTGGACAGCATGCCATTGACTGTACATGTACGAGATCAATTCAGTGTCAGTCGAACCGTTTTGCTCCAAGAATGAGCAAGGAAATGTACAAGATGGTGAGGGGAGGGGGGGGGGGGGTGAGAGGGTGATACATAAAATAGCTCAGTAAACATCATTCATAGTAAAGAGGTAGAAGAATGATAACATTGGATTTGAATGGTCTCGTAGATACTGCCTATGGATGTTAGGCATACACTGATGATGAGTTATCTCTCTCTCTCTCTTATTCGAACTTCGAAGTCATGGGCGCCTTGGCCTACCCTCTACAGGGCGCCACTTGGGTGACTTTTACAGGAAATCGCCAGTTTTTTGTGGAAATGGTGAAATCATAATTATGCCGGATCTCTGGCCCACCCCAGGTACTAACCACCACGACTACTATCCACCAATGTACCAACGGTACCATGCCTGTGTTCAAATGATGACAGCTGCACACTGAATCTCTTGAGCTTAGTTACTGAAGGCTGTACCAACCATAACTTGCATCTCACTTTTGTCCTTTTCCGAATATGGAAGTAGAGGCAGTTACTATACCAACGTCTGCTTTATTTATCCTGATTGCGACGGCAGGTTATACAGGACAGGCGGAACCAGTCTGTGATTGGTCCGGCCATACCCTAGCCATTCATACAGTTTGTGTATGATATGGAGCCATTGGAGGGTAGTCACATGACCTTCTCGGCATTAAACACACGTTGGTGGCCAAAAGTTGGTCCGGTCATGGCCTGACCAACCGGACCGGTTCCGCCGGGCCTGTTATATTGCACAGTTCCTTGAGCCCCACCTAGGACGGTGTTGTGTCCGACACGAACTCTGGGTTGCAGTTGTGGTGTCAATCTTTCTAGGATGTGTCTGTACGAGTCGCAGGGCCTTTGTGTGCGCACCGATGCACACACTAGTCATGGATTAATCAGCACGGAAGACTGAATTGATTCATGAAACAGACCGATAGGATGGATCACATCCATGCATGTCATGTGGCCTGTTAACTATCTCATTCGTGGCTAGCATATCACCAGTCCTGCATGCTGAAGAGCTGTGCAAATGTACAACTGTATTTCCTTGCTTCCTGTATGTGTGCAGTAACTACACTATCACCATGCCAGCGACAGTTTGGCTGGGAAGCACGCTGGAAGCGCAAGTGCACGTCGACAAAGTCCATGGGATGCACGCACCTAACTGCAACGTCGAACTGACGGCGCATACCCAGGAGTCGCGTAGATACTTTGTGCCGTGGAGACGGTATCGGGAGCCATCCACCTCCTCCAATATCTCCGTGTCCGATTCCTTCCAGATCGTGGCAGGTAGGTTGCGGTAAAAAGACATGAAGTTAGGCCTGAAAAGCGTAACATCATCACTCTTGCACGCACAGGTGTACACCGGATGACATGAATTGAGCTGCACAGACTACACACACACATGTGCACGTAAATGTATGCAGGAATATGCATACGTGTACATACATACACTCTCTGCATTCCCTGCGTTCTTCCCACCAGTGAATCCATTCTCTCGCTGTCCCCCTCTCTCTAACTCCGTATGCCCCGAAGTAGGTGTATGGACTACTTTTCTCAAAACATTGGCGACACTGAGTACAGATTCTTGATCACTTCTTGGTGTATGTGTCCATAGAGGTAATGTTCAATGTTCCATCTCTATGTGTGTTTCTGGTTTTGCGCTGTATACAGGAGCGGAGCCGAAAATTATCAGTTTCGATGTAAGTGTTGATGCACACGAGCACTAACGCAACATGCTTACACACATGCACAAAAACACATGAACTCACATCCAGTGTACTGCACTTGCTCACTGCCACGACTGGTCACGAGAGTCTCCTCCGAACAGGGAAGAGAGGTTCGAAAGGAATAATTATACCTTCTACACACTCACATGTACACACACACACACATACACATACACACACACACACACACATACACAAACTCATATACACAAACACACACAGACTGACACACTCAATGCTCCATCACTCCAAAGGCCCTTGCTCGTATCGCAAGTAACAGTAAATTCTTCATCAATGTTCTCTCTCTCTCTCCTCTTCCACACAGTTACCAACAGAAGGACAAGCTGGTAATCAAAGACTTCGCGTGACGGTTCGTGGCGCATGCCATCCAAACGGCGCCTATTCACCATGCCGCTTTGAGAACTCCACTAACCTTCACGTCGAGAAGGGACGCACCAACGTTCTCATCGAACTTGACAAGCCCGTCTATAAGCCATCTCAGCTCAGTAAGTACTGTGAAACCGGAATATTTCACTGGTGATGAATTTTTGGTAACTTCTATACAGGTAAATTTTACCTAAAATAGAACGCGACCTAAAATTCCACACAGTCAAGGCACAGTGTGCAAAATGCATTTTTGGATCTGGAAAACTGGTTTACCGGAATGTTCCCGCTACCAAACCGTTGATTTTGGGAAATACCCGGTTTTGCAGTAGGTGTTCCGGTAGCGCCATTCACAAAGCTTCAACAGATCACCACGCACACTGCAGTGTCTAATATTTTACTAGAGAACGGAAATCGGAAAGTCTGAAGAAAGATATTGGCTGTCACCACTAACTTAGGACTCTAACCAGGGACCTTCGCTTAAGGCCAGCGATGCTCTAACCACTGAGCTATGATTCAGCTGTCGTCCCAGCAGAGACCGTTCACTGCAGTGTCTCAGTAAGACATGCATTCCAACTGTTATTGACAAGGCGTGCATCTTTTAGTGACTTATAGTCCCTGGATGAAACAAAACACAACGCTTGCATTCCTCTTACTCTGTTGAAAATTGTTTTACAAGATCTTCGTGCATCTCCCACATACAGGATGAAATGCTGTCCAATACAGAGCAATCAATGGTTTCAGGTTTTAGCACTCTAGAGTACTTCACATTATGGGGAACTGCTTGCAGATTTTACATTCTGTGTTGTCATATCTCAAGGTTTGGAGACTCCACTGTAGCCAATACTTGAATCCATACATCCTGTACACACACCTTGTTTTTTTGTCATATGTCTTGTAAAAATTGCGTTACCTACCCTTTACTTAATCTCGCTTTCTCTCCCTTTCTATATCTTACTCTCTGTCTCTCCTTTCTCTCTCTCTCTCTCTCTCTCTCTCTCTCTCTCTCTCTCTTTTTCTCTCTCTCTCTCTCTCTTTCTCTCTTTCTCTCTTTCTCTCTCTCTCTTTCTGTCCCATCTTCAGTCCAAGGCCGTATTGTTGCCGTGGATACAAAACTGCTTCCTGTCAATGGCATCGTGAGTACTGTGTGTCTGTGTTTGTGTCTGCCCGGGTGGGCCGGCGTACGTGCCGACTGGTTAGCGTATGCATGGACAGGTTGGCGCGTGCCAGACGGGAGAGCTCGATAGACACACAGTGTTTACCCGAAACTCTAAGAGGGCTCTTGATCTATCTGAATATTATTTGCACAGGTGGGCAAGACAAGCGGAGGAGCGAGTTGTGAATGTGCTCATTCCATGAATGTATCGAGCAGTGCTCCTCTGCACCCATGCAAGGTGCATTATTCTGATTTGAAGATCTACTATAGTGGGTGTTCAGACTTGACTCCGTTATTTTTGTGCGTGCCTGGTTTGTGCGCGTGTGTGTGTGTGTCTTTCTGTGTGTGTGTGTGTGCGTGTGTTTCTGTCTGTGTGTGCGTGTGTGTGTGTGTGTGTGTATATGTCGGACTGTCTATCTTCATTGTACGTATGTGTGTGTGTGTGTGTGTGTGTGTGTGTGTGTGTGTGTGTGTGTTCGGCAATATCCCGGTGATTAACATCATCTTGCTGTCGTGCCGACCGCACGCTCACTGCGGCATTACGTCATCTCACCCACTCCTGATGACATCATTGCACTGACGGTTGAAAACCAGATTCCTCTAGTACACATCACTGTAAGTTGGCCAATAGGAACTTTCACAATAACGGGTACGATAGTATTGAAATAAACGACCAAAGTTTGATGGGGTTGGCAGTTTTTCTCTTTTCACTTCCCCGACTGATCCCTTCAAAGTTTATAATTATGTTATCCGTAGTTTTTCCAGCAGTGACAGTTATCAGCAAGACATTTTGGAGCGGTCTGCCACACAATTATTATGTTCTGAGTTCACTTCAGCATGGAGTGTATTGCCCTGCGTCTCATGTCTAGTTTTGATCCCCCGATCGAATATGGAGTTAGCTGGATTCTAGGCTGCATCACCTGATGTGTTGAGGAGCACCTCAAATTCTAGTTTATAGCATATTTTGAGTAGTTTATAGCTTTTTTTTAGTAGTTTTAGCTTATTCTAGAGGCATGGCAATTCCCCTCCTTGCTGGCAGTGTGCTGGTTTGTTGATAATTCCAGCCAAACACCCAGGCAAGCGAGGGTGAACTGGTTAGAGTTTGATTCTGATTTTCCGTCTGTGGTTGTAATCTATGTGCAGGATGCCAAGAAGTCGCGAGTGGCCCAGTGGAGGAACGTGTCGTTGAATAATGGTAAGTTTGATCGGGTCACGTGAGGAATCACGCACAACAAGCATAGACAGCACTGACGGCACTCACAAACACACTCACCCTGGTCCATGCCCTGATTGTCTTTTTTGTTGTGTGCTGTACCGTACAGGCATTGCTACATTCTCTCTGCCTTTGTCGTCGGAACCGGTCCTGGGCGATTGGAGAGTCACTGTGTCCGATCAATTCACGGTATGCACCACTACCCCACCGCACCGCCGCAGATAGAATTGCATGTGGTTCTCCAGTGCTGAGGCATGGGCTTGAGTGAAGAGTTTGAAATTATTGAATGATGACAGTAGTTATTTTCAGAGCTTTACTTTCATGTAGGTTGTCGCCTCCTCGCCGCATGTTTACAAATTTATTGAAGTTGTTGAATGATTGATACATGTATGGTCTGTTCGTAAACGGTTTTGACCGTAAACGTTGTTAGAATTGATCTATTCAGGCAGGTGGATCTGAACTGGCGCGGCAGGTGCAGCCCATGCAGCGCACTAATAGTTTTATCTTGTGATTTTGAAGCAAGAATACATGGGCTATTTGGGCCCATTTTTCCCAATATTTCCCACATCCGACCTCTTCATGGCCACACTAGTATGGACTAGCTTCCGACGCCCCTGCCCCATAAAATGAAAGGAATTGCTACTTTCTGCCCCGAGTGGTATGAGTGACGTCCGGTCGACGGGGACGTGACTTGACTAACAGTTACTTTGTGATTGTTGTGTGCTTTGCTTGTGCTGTGTTTGTGTCTAAAGGGTGCTGAAGTCGAGGAGGTATTCAAAGTTGACGAGTATGGTGAGTTTGTTTTCTATATTCTATTCATATCATACGCCTATTCTTTACTCTAGCTGAAGGCTAGATTGTGGATACATTTTGTTCCTGTCGTCTATTTACGCAGCTGTTCTGCGTTGCTTGGAAAGGTGCTTGACAGTAGGGGTGGCACATGTTGCCACAGCATGGTGCAATGCTCTCTGTACAGACTGTACGAAGGACAACATGCGCTTCCGGGTACTGATTCCGGCATATGCTTGAAGGCCAAAATTCCTCTATTCTGGATAATTCAGCATTGTCGCGCTCACAATAGGCGTATAGCACGTGAAAAACGGTGGCATCTCATGATTCTTGCTGCTCGATTTTTCGTTTATCTGCTTTGCAGTCCTGCCGAAGTTTGAGGTGAACGTCGATGGTACCAAGTGCCTCTCCGACGAGTCCAGTGAATACTGTATGGAGGTTGATGCACGGTGAGTGTGGCATGACTGGAGTTCCAGCTACAGTGTTTCAGCAAATCATAAAGTTGATATTGCACAGATTTTACTTTCCTGATACCGAGTCTCTGCCATCATGCTGCATATTCAAACGTTCTCTTATCGTCAACAAATGGAGAGAAGATTCTACATAGCTGCCATAGTATTGATGTGCACGATCAAACTTATTTTGTAAGCCTCGAATCAGGGTTGGTCTAGTGCACCTGTATGGCTACATACATACTTATGTGTGTATGCGCCAGCATCACCCATAGTGTCCGCTCTGCCATCACCCATAGTGTCCGCTCTGCCATCACCCATAGTGTCTGCTCTGCCATCACCCATAGTGTCTGCTCTGCCATCACCCGTAGTGTCTGCTCTGCCATCACCCATAGTGTCTGCTCTGCCATCACCCATAGTGTCTGCTCTGCCATCCCCCTTAGTGTCTGCTCTGCCATCACCCATAGTGTCTGCTCTGCCATCACCCATAGTGTCTGCTCTGCCATCACCCATAGTGTCTGCTCTGCCATCACCCATAGTGTCTGCTCTGCCATCACCCATAGTGTCTGCTCTGCCATCACCCATAGTGTATGCACCAGCATCACCCATTGTCTGTGCGTGCGTGCGTACGCCTGTGTACACCGCCATAACCCATGATGTGTATGCTCACCTGTGCAGATACACTCACGGACGCCCAGTCAAGGGCACCGCGGATATCAAGTTTGAACTGCTGGCACGCCACGGAAACGTTCTCAACTGGATGTATCTTAACAACGATGCAATGGGGAGTCTGGGCTTTGAATACCCAGCCAACACCAGCATATACCGGCGCTACAGATACGCCTATGCCCAAGTGACTGCAATGCCTATTGTTATGAAACAGAAGGTATGCTGTGCTCGCAAGCTGTAGTTGAGGCATGTCGGCTAAACGGCTTGCAATGCGTGTCACAGTGTGATTGCGGATCCATAGTCGTATCATCTTCAGTGCATATGCTTGTGATTTTGCAATGCCAGAAGGAAGTGGAACTACCGGCATGAAGGGAAAATATTGTTGGTATTGGTATGGTATGGTATTGATACAATTTATATATTTGAATTCGGTATCTCAACAATACAATGTACAACTTGGGAAGATCCGAATGACATAGATACATAAACATAAAAGTGGAGTAGGTGCTACAGCTGTTACGGCATATAGAACAAAGGCCAACGTAATGGTAGGAAATGGAATAGATATCCGACGGACCGTGTTTTGTTGCAAAAATCTTATAGCCGCTTGTACTCTAGAAAACACAGCACATGTAGTTTGTGTTCACCTATCCTCTTACATGTGCTGCCGGTTTGTGTGGTGGTAGGAAATGGAATAGATATCCGACGGACCGTGTTTTGTTGCAAAAATCTTATAGCCGCTTGTACTCTAGAAAACACAGCACATGTAGTTCGTGTTCACCTATCCTCTTGCATGTGCTGCCGGTTTGTGTGTTTGCAGCTTACAGCTTCGGAAGAGGACCCAGTGCGTGTGTGCTTCGATTTCCGTGACGTCTACGTAACCTTTCGACAACTGTTTTGGAACGGCCGTTCGTACGTCCCTGCCCGAATCCGCCCCGGCTACACAGGGAAGAAAGTGCTGCCACTCGTCCAGATGAGGCAACAGATCCTGAGTGAGTATATCTGCCGGTCAATACATCAGCCTTGTCAGCTGATGAATGGCGTAATCCCGGCACAAGTTGCTATGTCTAACATAGCTTGCTCACTATCATCACTTCCATGATGTTCAGGAGTATGAGTATGAGTCAAAAGATTCATTTAATGATGACCCGGCATACCTTACTCCATGCACTTTTTTTATATGGGCCGGTGGAGGAAATACCTCATTGCATGGAGTAGTATGTTTGAAGAATTTCATGTCACAGGTGAAATCAGGAATGCTTCCCTTTGAGAAATGTACTTGTGTTGCCTGTTCTTGTTATGTGACACCACACTGATCCTTCTCTCTCTCTCTGTCTCTCTCTCTCTCTCTCTCTCTCTCTCTCTCTCTCTCTCTCTATCTATCTATCTATCTATCTCTTTTTCTATCTATCTATCTATCTATCTATCTCTCTTTCTCTCTCTCTCTCTCTCTCTCTCTCTCTCTCTCTCTCTTTCTTTCTCTCTCTCTGTCTGTCTGTCTCTCTCTCTCCTTCTCTCTCTCTCTCTCTCTCTCTCTCTCTCTCTCTCTCTCTCTCTCTCTCTCTCTCTCTCTCTCTCTCTCGCTCGCTCGCTCGCTTCTTTCCTCTCTCTTCTGCCACACACATATCTTTCTTTTCACTCACCGGCTCGTTGTGAATGTACTTCGAATCTGTTTGTAGGTCGTGTCAAGATGCAAGCGTCTGTCGTCGTTACTGAGGGTGCAACCGGCATCGAGCGTAATGGCAGCGTGGAAAACACTTGCTACTTCTCTTCCCCGTACAGAATCGAGTTTCAAGATGGGAAATACAGCGGAAAGTTCCAGCCAGGTCTGGCACTCTCTGGATCTGTAAGCTATGGTGCTGCTGCTCCTCTACGGTATTTTCCCTCAGAAACGTGCACGTCTGCGACACTAGTACTTATCCAATGATAGTACATGTTGAGTGGGGATCAAAAACATTAAAGGACTCTTCTTCAATAAAAGAAATAAAATAACATAAATTTCACGGTTCGCGTGAGATTCGGCTGGAAGCCGAGCAAACCCATCCTCTCTAATAGTAGTGAGGTAAAACATGGTGTGAAGGACCTCTGGTTTTAGCGGCCACCTGCTCTTAACGACAGCTTCTCCATGCACCGAGAGTTCTACACAGACACTGTGGGACCTGGTTCAACAGGCCACCCAGCTTGAACAACCTCTTTTGCTTGCACCGTGGGGTGGTTACTTACACCAGGTTTGACTGTACCTGCCAGAATGATGTGATGGGCATTACTGGGGTGCGTGTACCTGCATTTACTTTACTTTGCTTCTCTTACCCATGAATCATCTGTGTGCCTCGCTGCACTGCATGGTACCTTGGGTGGAGGGTTATTGCAGGCATGTGCTGCCAAAAGGTATCATTATTATTAGAGGTATGCCGTCTCTCCTCCTCTCACTCTGACTCGATTTCCCTTCAACGCTCACTACTCTGCATTTCAAGCGATCTTTGTTTCCTTCTCCACCCTTCAATGTTTGCACCCTTTCACTCTGTTTCTGTGCAGGTGAAAGTGTCCCGTCATGACGAGGAGCCTGTTGGCCATGGTGGACTGAGGGTGCAAATGGTATGCGATATCGATGTCCCCACCACCAAAAAACCACAGCGCCTTTTGCACCAAAACCTGACTGTTGATGCTGCCGGTCGCGCCGAGTTCCGCATTGAGAAGACACCGTGCTCGACGACCGGAGTCAACTGCAGGGTTAGTTATAGCTTGGAGCGGCTTTGGACAGATGTGTGTCTACTGCTGTGAGTGGACTTGCATGCAGCTGGATAGTATTAGATTGTCGTTGCTCATAGCCCGAGGAGTCACTACCTAAGTTGACATAGTTTTGTTCTGGGGCTCAACCCTATTTAACAATTTTGGGGTGTATTCTTGTTCCACTCCAACCCCCATCACACACACACACACACACATGCACACCTTCCGTATTGTAAGGTATTACATTCCAGTTTTCAAACTCTATTTGTGTGTATATGCATGTTTCCATACGTGCGCGGGCATGCATGCGTGCGTGTGCGTGTGCGTGTGCGTGTGCGTGTGCGTGTGTGTGTGTGTGTGTGTGTGTGTGTGTGTGTGTGTGTGTGTGTGTGTGTGTGTGTGTGTGTGAATGCATATTGAATGTTCTTGGTGCACATAAAACATCGGGGTATAGGCAACATGGGCATCTTAGCCAGATTTTTGTGGATCAGCAGATTTGACCTTGGAGATACGATAAATCACTAATGAAATAATCTCACCGAGTCAATACCCGGACCTACCAAGTAGCGTTTGAGAATTGAATTTCGTGTTTTGTTTCACTTCACTTGTTCATACAGGCAAAGCTGCTGAAGCACCAAAGACCGCTGCAAGTTAATAGCTTCAAGTCCTACAAAGTCCAGTTTTCGCCAACCAATACGTTCGTCACCAACTCTCTGATCGGGCCCGAATACGAGGTACGGCACCTGTGTACCCCAAAATGTAGCTGTGCTTGTGTTTTAGCCCTCAAGACCCGTAGAATTTACCTTTGGTTGTTGCCGTTGTTCATTTGGTAAACTACCGACCATCTGTCAGGGCAGTGGGTTCTCTTTTCAATGAGATGGTCATGATTGTGCCTTTTCCATGAATGTCTTTACCTTCCAATCCTGTGCCTGTAACTAAACTAAGAGTTTGATGACTTTACTACCTTGTTCTTGATTTTCTGCTTTGTCTTGTGACACCCCAGCTTGGCCAAACTGCTCGCGTTCCTCTTTGCCTGTTCTCTTGCCACGAGCAAGACGTCTACAACATACGCTATTCGGTTAGTTTGTGACACTGGTTGATGTGTGCGGATACAACTGGTAATGATATAAACAGTTCTCGTATTTAAAATCTTGCATTGCCCGCCTAAATAATCATACGGGGGTCATACATTTGGCAATGATCGTTAACCTGAGTTGCTTATTTGGTGACGAGGTTGAGGCATCCTTGAATTGACACATTCAGAGGCATGTGGAAATATCTACTTATTAGTGACATGGCGTATCAGCATGAAATATGTGCGGTTAATGGAATCGACAGGTGTGTTGTAGATGGCATTGTCAGGCAAAGAGAGTTGGATAATGTGTGTGCGTGTGTGTGTCCGCCAGTGTAACTCGTACATTTGTCCATGCGTGTCCGTGTGTGTGCATGTCATGCGTGTGTCTGCAGATCAACGCCCGTGGCCACGTGGTACATTCTGGTACACAGGATGTACAGAGAGGCGGTATGGACTCAGTGGATGGTGACTGCTCTGAATCTGAAGGTAAGCAGGCATTAAATGTAGAAAGGAAAAGGACATATGGAAACGAGTTAAGAGTAACTCTCCATCACTGTAACCAGATACTATATACAGTCAGAAAGTGCAACAACTAGGCACAAAACTGACAGAGTACTGGCACATATGTCCTTTTCCTTTCTACATTTATTATTGGCTCAACATCCCAGTTTCAAATTGAACATTCATAAAATACACACTCCAGCAAAATTATTAATTCTGTTGACCACTCTGAATTGAACACACTCTTCGTGTTTGACTCACATTTCACACTCCGAACCGTACATTTAACCAAGTTCCGGGCCTAGAAATGGAGCAGAAATCAATTGTAAATTTTGGAGTATTCTGGGGAATTGCTCGGTCGGAATTCTAAAATTCCAGATGCTTTGGGTTGTCAGTCAGGACACTCTTTTAACCGGTACTTTGATGTGACGTGATTTTTGAATTATACGCAGAAACCACTCAGCCACCGATGACAACCGAAGCAGAGGTGACGACCGAAGCTGGGACCGTTCCCGTCGACGACGGCAGCGGATTCAGTCCGGGACTGTCGGAGGTCACGCTGATCAAGCGGCGTCCCGACCCGGTTCGCCCGCATCGCTTCCCGATCTATCCTCCGGGCCCGACGAAGGCGCCGCGCACTTGCCCGTGCAACTGTCGCCGACAGTGCGACTTGTTCCTGGAGTTCCCGGTGAGCGCTCGCATGGGACCGAGAGGAACACTGACTGTCTATGTCACCCTGTCCAGTGGAGAGATGGCAGTGGATACTCTGGATTACAAAGTCAGCACCATCTTCGAGAATCAGGTGAGTGCTAGTTAGGCACTCAAAAATGTATCTCTCAAAGTACATTAGAATCTGTAAGTAACGACCACCCCTTGGGGCCAGAGACGCCGATCTTCAGTGGCAGAAGGTCCTTAGTTAGAGGTTTGCATCGCACAACCTTTTATGAATGTGAG